AAAAAATCTTCTGTTCCAGTCTAGATCAGCACATGCTCTAAGCTGTCTTAAGAAGCAGGGAACACAGGTTCACCAAAGGACTGAGGGAAGTTCTCTGCAAAACAAGTCTTTTCAAGAAAGAGAAAGGCTGTACCTGAAACAGGAACATTTCTAACCAAGAAATTCAGTTTTCTCTATTGCTTAATCAGAAAAATTGCCTTTTTTCTCTTCAGCAACTATTCTTCTTGAAAAAATTGTGATTATTTTTACTTTTCTTTTTTCTTTCTCACAGTGGAATAGCCATTATTACTTCATCCTTGTAACTGACACAGCTGGAGCCAAGTTTTCATCAAAGCCATCACTGCATCCACAAAATCTACACAAGCACTTACTATATGTTCAAAAATGTTTGTAAATAAGCACATAAGCAGGATTACACAATTTGCATGCAAAGATGTGGGTTTCCAAGGGCAGCATTTTACCCTGACAACATTACAGGTGAAATGTGCCCTCAAACATGCACACATTTTCACTAATTTGTACCTTAATGAAGAATAGAAATGAGTGTTTACCTCAAAAAACATCTGAACCTGGCAGTACCACTTCTTAATGAACAGTTCCAGAAACTGCGGTATGTTTTGCATTTACAATTTTATTGTGGTAACACTCAAAAAAGACATTGTACATACTTGCATTTCCTAGAAACTCCCCACACACCAGGTTTCCCTCCGTAACTCTTGAACTGTCACATTTCTGTGTTTTTACCATGCTCACGTGTGTGATGCCAGATCATCTTATGTGGGCATAGAATAAAATATCCTGCCAGATTTCACCTTCTATTTCATTGAAGGCCCGCCATCAGTAGTTATCCCTTTCTTGAGTGTTTGTCCTTCAATTAGTCTGTATCATCACATGATATATCTGGACTGAAAGCTTAGAATAATTTTTCAGATCAAATTATTTGGAAACAGGGTGGCTGGGAACAACCACATTTACCTGTGTTAGAATTTGACCAGCATGCTCTGACAAACACTACTACTTAAAAATGTGTTGGCTTTGTACTTCCCACACCTTCAAATATATGACAGTACTCTGTGAAAAAAACCCACAAAACCCAGACAACAGAACCATGTCCCAGCAAATTAAAACACCTCAACACGTAGAGCAACTGCTCCATGTGTCCTGCCAAATGAAACAAAAACATGAGGTCAGTCTCAAAGTCCTGCATGCTCCTTCTGCTTAACTTCGCCTTTAAGCCCTGGCACAGTTTAGGGTACAGCCAGCACGAGGGACCATTCCCCCAGAAGTTGGGATCACCTTCCCACCACCGTCGCGGGTTGGCCAGGGACGCCTCAGCAGGCGGGACACCTGCAGACATTCCACACCCCAGCGCATGTGGAGCTACACTGACTTTCTGGACGTACTCCGAAGGGCTTGGAACTGGAAAAAAAGGAAAACAAACCTACACAAAAAATAACCTAAATTACAAACAACAAAGTCACAATCCGGGGGCGACAAAGCTGGAGGTGCCTGTTGGCCCTGCCCCAGGCTCCACCGCCGAGGCCGTGTGTGTATAATTTCATTTCAGACCTCACAGCTGATGTAACAGGCTGCGGCAGGAGCCTCCCGCGGGCCCGCACTGCCCCCGCCGGCCGCCCAGCGCCGGGACACCCGCCCGGGTGCCCGCGAGCCGCCATCCGCCCGCTCCGCCGCCGCTCCCCGCCCC